TTGTATATTATTCTCCATAGTCTCGGCGTAATAGAAAATACTATTCTCCATTTTAGAGATGGGATAGAATTCATTTTTTTATTTTTTACGTCCTTCCCATCTATAATGATTTATACACGCTTCAAAAACCCATACAAGAATCCCCCCACCCTCTTTTCCTCCCTTTATAAAAAGAAAAAAACTCCAAACGCCCGCTTTGCCCCCCACCATCATACCTTCCTTCTCAACGAATCATTAAGTCGTTTCTTCAACCTGCTCAACCCCTCCAACCGACCAGCAGTTGACGCGCTCCTCCCCCGTCCCTTATACCCTCCTTCTTCATCTCCACCTTTCACAGCCCTCGCCGCCTTCTGCCGCTTCTCAAACTCATCAATCGTAAACGCCGGCTCCCCCTTCCCCTTCCGATCCTCATCTCTATACGTCTATATCTCCCCTTCATTAACCCCCCTTTCCCCCTAGTATCCTCAGAGAAAGAAGAACATACCATATGTCCCCACCTTTTCAACCCCCCATCCCTAACCATAACATCATACTCTTCATACATCCCCACCCCGCCCTCTCCCGGTGGCAACACCGCACATCCTTGTAACGGATAATGCCCCTCCAAACAATCCGCAATACTCGCCTTTGGCGTCGCCGCTAACGTGTGCGCATTACTTTCTCTCAGTGCGTCGACGGGAGCACGTCCCGGGATCTGGCGGGCGAAGAGAGTGGCCTCGAAGGGCCCGTCGTGGTGGTAGGGAGTGCCGAGGATGCTGCCGAGGACGTCGATTGGGTCGGGACCAGGGATGTGGGAGATGCGGCGGGGGTGGGGGAGGGATTGTGGGCGGTGGCGAGAGGGAGGGCGGTTTTCTTTTCCCTGGTGGGGGAGGTTAGAAGGAGGAGGAAGCCTTTGGGGGGGGGGGGGGGGGGGGGGGGGGGGGGGGGGGTGGGGGGGGGGGGGGGGGGGGGGGGGGTTTTTTTTTTCCCGGGGGGGGGGGGGTGAGAGGGGGGGGGAGGTTTGGGGGGGGGGGGGGGACGAGTGCGTACTTGTGATTGTGGGTTTGTTGTTGGCATAGCTGTGGGAGAGGTTAGAGCTCGTGGTAGAGGGCGACACGGATACAGGAGAAGAGTGCGTATGTGACGATGAGGAGGTAGATTGGGATATTGACCATGACTGCTGTTGGGGAGGGTCGGGTCATTTATATTTGTGTGGGTGGTGATGGTGGTGGCCGTGGCCGGCCTGGATTCTCAGCCGTTCCCGTTAGAGCGGGGAAGAAACGGGTCCCTTGCTTGCTGGTGGTGATTGGTTCATCTTTCACGTCACAAGTCGTCGTCAGCCGCAGAGGGGCAGTGGGTGGATCTTCTGACTATCCTTAGTTCCACTACTCCACATATTTCCCCACAAGTTGGAATAAATATATTACCTCTACAATATGCAATACGAGGAGGAGGCGCCAATAATAGAGAAAGCTGAAGAGCTGAGAACAACATGTGCGAGGTTGTCTTCTGGAGGCTGACATGATGGATGGGATGCGTGCCTGATTTGGTGTGAGCTGCATTGCGTGCCGATCGTCGTGCAGATCTATCAGGATCAGCCCTATGATAGCGAAGAGGTGATATAGGCATATTACTTCTTCTCCTTCTTCTTCTTTTGATGCAACCGTCTCCTGCTTCTTTTTATCCTGCAGTGGTAAGTCCCAGAGGAGGAGGAGGAGAAGTGTTTGGAGGTCCTCTCTTGCGCTGAATTGGAACGGTAAAAACATCATGGTATTTCTGCAACGAATACTATCTCCCATACAACAGACTATGGCATACCGATATCGCCCGACTCCGGGCCTTGGATCATTTACGCAAACATTCTGGACCTGTAGGAACTCAGTTTTCCTTAATAACGAGCGGGGACGGATCCGACAGTACCTGAACACGGCGATCGGGAATTCCGGATTCCGCATTCTGCAAGTGCCGCCAGTCCTCTCTCTCTCTCTCTCCACGACCGGAAATTACATTTGCACGTGTGGTGATAAGTGGGAAAGTGGGGGTTGCTTTCTCAAGTTCAAGTCTTCCCTTTGGAACGGAGCCACAAAACAGTGAGTGAGATATGTAAGGTCACCATTCAATCTCAATCACCACCTCATCATTGATTAGCCATTTCCTATCTATGCATCTCAAAAAGCCACATCGGTCTTTTAGACAATAAACAGCCAACCTGAAACCAATTTCAAACAAAGAAAGAAAGTAAAGAAAGGAAAAATAAAATATAAATGGTTAGCTATAGTCCCACGCCGAAATTTAATCACAATCTATCCGTAAACCCAAAAGCACCCTATGCCCAGTAGAGCCACTTAATTCCGTATCCTCTTCCCACCATTTAATGCCTCCTTCCGCTTCATCTTCTCTACTGTCTTTTCCAGTGCCATCCGCACAGGTCCTTTCGGGAAAGTAGAGATATCGTAATAAATCGGAGCGATCTCTAGCAGCCACTCGGGTTTGACGTGTGTGACGGTTCTAATATAGTTTTTTGTGGTCAAAACAAACTCATTGTAGATGAGCCATTCGTTGTCTTGTTGTAATACTGTGGACGGGTGAATATATACATCCTAGGATTTGACGTTAGCAAGAGTTGTGCGCTTGGTGGAAGATGTATCACATACCTGCTGATCCTTGACGGTCACATAGCTCTTGCCCACCTTCTTTGCGACCTGCATAAAGAACCCAGCAACAAGTGCCTTTCGGATATTTGTATAGTAGTTCTTGTCCTCAAATGGCGTAGAGAACAGCTCTAGGCCGTTACGCTCCATGATTCTGGCCAACTGGTTGCGGACGTTGTCCGCACTCTGCAAACTCCGTAGGGAGAGGAAGTGATCATAACACCACTGAGAAGGATTTTGCTGTGCCTCTGGAGACTTGAATGCATGGTAGACGTTGAGCATGGTCAAGTGATCGCCATCTGCGTGGGCAAAGCGGGCCTTCATCTCATCGGCTCTCTTGCGGGCAGAAGGAGGCCGGGTGAAGACCTGTGGGACCGAAAGTAGCGCGGTGAGAGAGAGTATTTCGTTCGGGCAGTGAAACTCGGGGGAAGTGATGAGCATCACTGCCAGCGCCGGATCCAGTGGGAACTCGGATGCCATTTTACCCAAAGCGGTGAGATTACTAAAAACACAGTTAGCACAATCGACTCCGATCGAGCGGATCAAACCTACCCATCGTCATCCAAGCATGCAAGATAGTTAAGCTCTTCCAAAGCTCTCATCATAGTCTCAGGAGCAGGAGGATCCATAAAGTCAAAGTGAACCAAATCATCAATACCCAATTTCTTCAGTTCCAAAACAGTAGACGCCAAATTACTCCGCAAAATTTCCGGGTATGTCTGCTCAATCAACTCCTTCTTGAACGCTCCTTCCGTGTACAATCTGTAGCACTTTCCAGGTCTGGTACGACCAGCACGACCCGCTCGCTGTTGAGCTGAGGCCTTGGATATGGGCGAGACAAGGAGAGACTCCACACGGATGCGGGGATTGTAGACCTTTTGCTTCGAAAAACCAGGATCCACCACGTACACAATTCCGTCAATAGTAAGCGAAGTCTCCGCAATGTTGGTGGACACAACGACCTTACGTCCAGGTGTTCCACCGGGTCTTCTTGGCGGTGGTGCAGGCTCAAAGATCTTCTGTTGCTGTGCAGGTGGCAGTGATCCGTACAGCGCATAAACAGATAAAGGTCCACAATCTGTTTCCCGCAGCAGTTCGTCGGCCTCGAGCTTGATTTTCCGACAGGCGTCCTCAATCTCCTCCTCACCAGTAAGGAACAATAAGATATCTCCCTCCTTTTCTGTGGCGTGAATCTGAAGAACTGCTCGTAGCGCAGCCTCGACGTAATCACGTTCTGGCTCTGTCGTATAAAATATCTCAACTGGATGGGTACGTCCAGGGACGGCCAAGAGAGGCGCATCGTTGAAGTAGTGCTGGAACTTCTGCGCGTCCAAAGTGGCAGACATGATAATGATTTTAAGGTCCGGCCTCCTATTTGCAACCTCTTTCAAAAGACCCATGAGAATATCCGTAGCAAGCGTCCGCTCGTGCGCCTCGTCAAGAATGATGCAAGAATACCGATCCAAGTTATGATCATTCATCGCCTCTCGCAGCAACATACCATCGGTCATGTACTTGAGAATGGTCTTTGGCCCGGTGTTATCTTCGAAACGGATGTTGTAACCTACTTCCTCCCCAAGAGCCACATCCAGCTCGTCTGCCACACGCTTCGCCACGGACATAGCGGCGACTCGACGAGGCTGCGTACAGGCAACTTGTTTGCGCCCGTTGAGATGTGGAAGGTCATCATATAGAACAAACTGCGGGATTTGCGTCGTTTTTCCGGAACCGGTCTCTCCAACAAAAACCATTATTTGGGTGGAGTGGAACATGTCAAGAAACTCCTGTCTACGCCCGCCGTCAGCCTTGTATACACAAGTAGACACTAAGATCCAGTACTTACCTCTGCTGATGAACTGGCAGGTTCCTTCTCGTCTCTAAGATACGAAAATACTGATTCGACAGCGGTTTAAAGTTGAAAGGGTTGTTTGGGCCATCTTCTGCCATCATTGCCTGGTCGGCGGTGGTGTTATGGCGTTGAAACGAATGTAGCACCGTCTCGCCGTCGTTGCTCCCTCTCTTGCCTAGTGCAATGCCGTTCGCATTCTGCTCCGAGCCGTCGTACATATGTGCAAGATATGGATTTGTGGAAGGATCCAAAGGATCGGTGGCCTTAGGGCGTTTGGATGGTCGCTCGCCGTCTGAACCGGGGCGTTTTTTTGACTCAGATGCCATCCTTATATGGGGGTGCGGGAACGAATGGGACTGTAAGTAAGATACCTTTGCTGTCGTACGTGTTTTTGGAGGTGGCTGCGAAGGATCGAGGATCG